AATTCAACAAATCGATCATTAGAAGTGACGCATAACATAATTGGTGAAATAAGATTGATACATTCCCTATCTCGTGACCGATTATGATATAGATGATAAAATGATTGTATTTCACGCTTCCCGGACATGAATGTTTCATCATACCACATGACTTGTCACTTTGCATGGGTTGCCTTACACATTGCTAGGACATTTATTATTAATTAATTAATTAGTGAGTTAACGAATGAATTAAAAATAAGTAAATTAAATATTCTCATCTTGATTGAATGGAGATAATACTAATATTATTTGTTATCATGGAAGAGAACCCAATAGATCACAAACAAAAGGATGAGAGTCGAGAAGATCAAAAAAATTATTTAAATGACAAATGTGGCACCATTCAACTCATTTTCGAAGGTCATCATCTATTACTCATAAATCTACATCTTTTATACCGTCCAAAAGGTTTCATCGAGAGGTTCTCAAGTCATTTTGAGTTACATAAATGGACAGCTAAGGATGCCGTGTGACCGCTCCAAAAATGTTGTTCGCATAGAAAATGCCTTGGCTGCAGGATTTGAGGCTCTTAGTCAAATGACTCAAATGCTTACTAATGGGTACAATTTCGAAAGTCTCTTTACCTTCGTCACAACACAATAGGAATCGTACAATTTTGACAACTGTGAAGGTCACACAGCCCAAAGTTGGTGTTGTGTTGAAATTTAAAATGTAAAATTCACTTTTAATTTAAATCATTTGGTTCTTGCACAAGTCATTTATGAACTAGGAATGTTAAATGGAACAAGTCGAGACATTCGGCTCGTCTGTCGTCGAGCTCGACTCAACTCAACTCACCATGCAAGTCGATACATCTCACCAAAGTGTGGCTATGCTGGTCATAAAGCTTGTCCTTTGATGGGTTGAACTGAGCTCGCGAGTCATTTCATGCGATTTGCGAGTCACTCGTCTACTCGCACGAGTTTTTGCCACTCGACTCATCTCACAGCTCAGAGGCGGATCCAGCACCCGACGAGCTGAGGCGGCTGCCCGTGCTAAATCTGATTAAATGAAGATTTTATTTTAAATCTATATAAATGTTAGTGCATGAATATTAAACGATCAGCTAGGTAACTCAAATGGTTTGAGTGCTTACTTTCCATGCGAGATGAATGAGGTTCGATTCCTGTCATTGGCATTCTTCTTTTTGATGTTTCTCCTAATTGTTGTTCGTACTTTTTTTTTTTGTTTAATTGGGCTTTTGCCTATACTGAGCTCAATAGG